TAGAACTAATGATGTAATGTATGGGGATTAACATAAGAATAAAAAAAAATTAAATTAAAAAAAAAAAGAAAGGAGATACTGTACCTATTGATAATATCTCTAGGAACAAATGTTTCTTAAATCTTAAATACATTTCTGTTCTTTTATAATTGTTGAAGCTCTTTAAATATAAAAATATGGAAAATCTTCCTTGAAAAACTATTACGAGCTTGACAAAATAATCTATGCTGGGTATAAATGTGGGTAAGAGAGGCACGCCTCTTTTCTCAGTTTATAATCTGGTGGAAAACAATAAAAAGGTAATAGCAATATGATATAATATGTTTGATGGCGGAAAAGGTAAAAAAATATATATATTGTGGAAGCACATGAGAGACATCTAATCCCTAATTTTATAATCCATAAATTTTAAAAGCTGTTCAAAATTTTTTTTGAAAATACCTTTTATTATCATTCTGGGAAAGTGGCATCTAAGACTTGCCCTAAAGAAATAAAAGGAGCAAGACAAACACAGAGAAATGGAAGACAGGGAGTTGGGTAGAGATTTCCAGACAGGGGCAAAAGTAAATACTGTTTACAAAGGGCTGAGTGCTGCTGGAGCCAAGAGTGGCAAGAGATCAAACTGAGCAGATGAGCTTTTAAAGGACAGCAAAAGCCAATTCAGGGAGTACAGATTTGATCCTGAACTGGTAAGAAATGATACTGACAAGTTTCAGCAGGGGAATGACAAGATGAGATTTTCGTTCTTAATATTCACTCCATTTGCCATCCAGTAAGGAGAGAAGAAAACCAAAGCACATATTTTTTCCAGGATTACAAAACAACAACAACAACAACAACAACAACAACAAAACCCAGAGGGTAAACCTAGAGAATTTCCAAACTTCTGTAGTACCCTCTGAAACTCAGACACCTATGATCAAATAGATATGTGAAGCTTCTTTGAAGGATTCTATTAGGTACACAATAATTTGTAGATAAATGTGGGAGCGGGAAGTGGAAAAATGTATTGTAGGATTGGCTTAAATCAAATAAGGAAAGCCAAGTGTAAAACTTCATAAAAAATAAAGAAGTAAATAATTATGCACTTCTTCACATTCCCACTATTATTGACACTGATAAATGATAGGATATACTTTTGAAATTTTATGTCTACAGATTTCACATTAAAATTTTAAGAGCTGTCAAAAATACTTATGAAAATGCCTTTTATTATCATATATAATTTATTCAGGTGAAAATACATGATTCAAATAAATAGCTTTTAAAGTGTTTTATGATTATATACTAATACTTAGATATAAAACTTGTTTGGTGCTATTTCAACTTTACAAGTGAAATGAAATTTAATAGCTGTTGGCCTAACAAAAAGTAGTATTCTAAACATCTCCTTATGTGACACTTCACCTAGTTAAGTAAATGTTTTTAAAAATTCATATAATTCAATATAGTCCTTCTTAAAACAATTTCATCCTTAAAAAGAAATCTTACCTTAAATGTTTGGATGGTCTTTGTATAATTGGGCACCATTATGGGTTTATTTGTCATCTTCCCTACTTGACAGTCTATAGTGATATGTTCCAAGGCCAGGGGTCTTTTTCCAATCCCTTTTATGTCAAAGACATACTCCATACCATCTACTTCATTTTGTAGAGTAAGTCTGCCCTGTGACAAATCAGCCAAATTTCAGCTCTGTAGGAGTCACAGTTGGATGTCAAACAATCTCTGCTATCCTATTAACTTTGAATCTGATTAATGAAATGAGCTTTCAAGGAGGTATCAGTCACTGACTTTTCTAGTTTATGTATAAATACTTCTACTGAATGAATAAAGATGAATTTCCTGTGAAAAGCTCTGTATTTCTCTTTGCTTTCTCTAAATGACAGAGTTTATATAGGCATTCTCATACATAGCAATTATATGCGTTTTTATGTCCTTGTCAAAGAAATATGTCTTAAGAAAATATTCTCTGAAGTACCAACTACCTTAATGAATAAAAACAAAGGAACAATGATTTTACTTTGTTAAACGTGTTATGTAAAAATAATCTAGACATAAGTACTGGCAGGCAATGGCATTGTGAATTCAGAAATTTTATCCCTCAAGTTAAAAGATTTATTAAAGTTTCAAGCAGAGTGAATACTAATAATCAAAAGCATAGAGTAGATAACTTTTTTGCAAAAAGGTTTATCATAAATTATAAAGGTTAATATCATACATCAGTTTATTGACAAATTAATACTAGGAAAAAAAATCAATGAGTTCATACCATAATCTCACATTCCAAAATAGGTTTGAACGTAAGGGGATACTGCACAGTTTCACCCGGTCCAACATATAAAACAGAAGGTCCATAAAACCATTCTCCTTCTATAGTAACTTGACATTTCCATTCATTCTTTGTCTTATTACTCTAAAGCATGAAAAATAATATAGAAAAATATCAGAAGGGTGATGTTGATGAAGCTGAATTACGTATTAATTCATGTTACTTTTAATAAAATTATATATTGTATTTTAAATTCCATTTCATGAGAATCACCATTTGAAAGTCATAGTTGTTAAGAACAACTATCAACAATGTGAATATACAGCATAAGGATGACTATGTATGCTTTCATTGTCATATAGAAGCATTGTCTAATAGGTTGATCCATGGGTTATTTAATATTTAAAGAAATATTTGTTTGAATGATTAATTACTGTGAAAATTATAAACTGGTCTTAGAATTACACATTCTACTCCTAATTATGGGCAATCTATCTGGTAGATTGCTCAGATAGCAAAGCTTACACATCTCATCAGAAAAAATTTTTGTGCTTTGAGCAGACTTTTCTTAAATCTTTAATAATTAAACAAACAAAACCAATTTCTAGTCTAGAAAATTCAACATTCCTTACAAATATATTACCTTCTTCTATGCTGTAGTGTCACTTTGAGAGCCAAGCTACAGCCAGTCATTGTTCTTAGTGCCCATGAACCCATCTTAACTGTGAAGATCACAACTGAATTTGAAGCAGAGATTCTCGAGATCCTAACTGCCTGGTAGAGCCAGGAATTCCCTTTTGAGTGGGAATGTGATGATAAGTTAAGGAAGTTGGAGTTATTTTTTGAAGGAAAGAGATCCAACAGAAGTGATTAGTGCGGTGCGTAACATGGTAACATTTATATTGAAGAATAAAGCTCTGTCCTCAATGTGGAGAAATAAATGGCAGCAGATAATGCCATTAGAAATTGTAATAGTTCAGATGAGAGGTTTGGAGAACTTTAATTGAGACAGTGGCAGTGGGAATGGAGAAAAGTAGCCAAAAAAAATAAGTAAGTATAAGTACCACTTACTACTGGAATATGTTGGGTAAGGGCTTCAAATGCTGGTGTTTCAAATTCAAACCTGGCTTCTGGACGTTCTTCATTTACCACACCTTCAATGCAATAGACACGCACATCATGCCGTGATATCAGCAAAATTTTACAAGGGTAGCGTCCAGGACTGAGAGGAACAAATCGTAAAGGAACTAGAACAGATCCATCTGCAACTATTAAAAAATGTTTTAAATAGCTTAGTTATTTTTGGTGGCATAAGTCCTAAAATTCATTTTGGAGTAAAGCAATATTTAATACTACTGTATTTAATTATATTGTATAATCTAGAAGAGACTAGCTTATCCTGAAGTAACACATTACCCTTAAATCGCCAGAGCATAACCACAATAACAGAATATATCTTGTGCATAGGTCATAGGAAGGTCTACTCCATAAAGTCACTCAGGGACCCATGTTGTGAAAGATACCACTATCTTCCAGGTGTACCATCAGGGACACCTCTCTTCTTTTGTTGACAGGTCAGGGGAAGAAAAGTGGCTAGAAGCTTGCTCCAGGGCTTTTCAGTGCTCAACTTAAAAGTAATACACATTACAGATGACCCTTGAACAATACAGGTTTGAACCACGCAGGTCCACTTATACGTGGGCTTTTTTCAATAAACACAGTACAGTACTAGAAATGCATTTTCTCTTTCTTAGGACTTTCTTAATATTTTCTTTCCTCTAGCTTACTTTACTGTAAGAATACAGTATACAATACATACAGCATACAAGCTGTGTGTTAGTCAACTCTTAATGCTATTGATAAGGCTTCCAGTCAACAGTAGGCTATCAGTAGTTAAGTTTCGGGGGAGTCAAAAGTTATATAAGGATTTGTGACTGTGCGAGGGGTAGGTGCTCCTAACACCTGTATTGTTCCATTGCCAACTGTACATTTAATTGGCCAGAACCAACCACATGGCTCTATCTAACTGAATGGGGGCTGAGAGACAGATATATGGAATATTTGGTGAGCATTATTGTTTGTTACATTTCTATGACTTAGGGGTACTCTGTCCCTTAGTAATCAAACAAATTTGCAGCTTGACCAGCAATTGGAAATAATTTTTCCATAGTTAATAACCAAGGGAAGCAGAGGTATGCCCAATTAATACTTCTCATATCACCTTGTTACACCATTAACCTTAAGTCAACAGCTAATATCAGTTCTTACAACAGGCAGACTATATATATTGGCCTTTCCTTCTAAGCAACACTAATTTTTTCTCTGAAGGTCACCATTTTCTTATTTCCATGAAATGAGAAAATAGTTATAAAAATCTCTCAATGCTAAAATAGGATGTAGTATAAGAGTTTAATGCACATTTCACTGCTAATGGCAAATTTTTTAAGTAATAGATAAAAAACAAATGATAAAAAAAAAAAGTTCAAAGCCTGATTCTATAAGAGGAATTTCTCTGAAACCAAGAAAACAAATCAAGCCCATCAATCAATGGACCAGACAAGTAGTATGACATTAATTAGCTATAATTTTAATTCACTCACATTTAGCACCTCAAATGTTAAAAATGGCAAACCTGTTTTCAAATACACTGAAGTTTATGCCAAGAAAACCAGCCACATCTGCAAGAATATTAATTGCCTTAAATCATTTTAAAATCAAATTGAGGATTTGTATATGTGTGTTACCTGTTAGGTGTTATATATTATAAAAACATTAATTACATATTATATAGCATGTTGCATATTGTGTATTGCTATATGTCATATATACTATATATAATGTTAGTATTATACATTGTATATTAAAACACACTGACAGTGGATCACATTTGAAATCTATATTACATCTAATGGAAGTTCAAGATTATCAGCTGGTCTAGAGAGAAAACAAAGGCTGTCAGAATGTTGTTATTTTTATTCCATCCTATTCAAGTACAGATTTAATTTTAGAATAAAATTTTTTCTCGTCGAAAAGGACTCCAGGCACATTTTATCATCTGTTATTCATTGATTGTTTTCATTCTGAGAGAATTGTTTGAGTTGTGGCAACATCATTTGAACAAACCAGGTGAGATAATCATCTGATCAAAATTTGTTGCTTTATTAACAGAAATAAAGAAACCTCATTGTTCTCTTTCACAAACAGACTGAAATGAAAATATTTAGATTAGGTAATTTAAATAAAATTAAACTGCTTAGAATAGGAAATTTAAGCAACTCCAACTCAACAGTAATTAACTATTCTCATCAAAGATAAAGAATCACTAGCCATTTAATAGTAAACAATAATTGAAATGCACAAGTCCCAGTATAAAGCTTCTATCAGAGGCTTTATGTTCTACACTATTTTCCTTTCCCTAAAAATATCCACTTCCTAATGATAGTGAGTCTGAAAGTGAAAGCCAAGGACATTCTTCAGTGTACATTTTCCAACTCATGAAATGTTCATGAGTAAAGACCCTAAGGAATGCACGGTGCCAGCCTCTTTCTTTGCCAGTCCGGAAAGGAATCCATCATAACAGTGGAGTTCACGGTAAGATAGTTCTATTTTTGAAGATGTACTGATAAAATCATATGCATCGTTTCTTAAACATCCAAAATAATTCGATTTGAGTACTAAACATAAATAGGAGTATTATCATCTATTATAAATAAGAAGCCACTTCTGTTTCTGCATCCCTTCAGATGTAAAATAGCAGCTGCAGAAACCATTTTGATCTTTAGAAACTTGGAAATTTTACTGGCCACATTATGCCATCATACCATCATTGTTTTCAGGGGCAGGTTTTCTCAAAGTCCTTCCCGAATCTGCACTGGAGCAGATACCATCCATGCCCTGCCACGTCCCCTGGGCATTTAAGTCCGCCCTGCAGGCAAATGGCTTTGTGGAAAACTTCTTTCTCTCTGAGGGCTTTCTCTGAGCACAGGAAGGTACTCAACCCTCATGTGGATCAGGCCAGAAGTGATAGTTCATGCCTACCTTTGCAATTCTCAACAAATAATGTATCAAACTGGTAGAAAATTAACCCAGGGTCTTTGACCTTTAGTAGGGATAACTTTGAGGTGAATTCTACATGAACTCCTAGAGATCCCCAGTGCAACTGAGCCCAAATTGTTAACAGTGGCAACTGCCCATTAACACTACCTGAATTGGCTTCTCTTTGCTCTCTCACTCTCTCACACTCCTACCTATGGTTCCTGAGATCACCTCTCAAACTACTTGCTCTCAAGACCTAGTTTCATGGTCTGCTGCTGGGGATCCCCCAACCAAACACACACTGTTAGGCCCAAGAAAGAGAGCTTCCTGTCCAGGGCCTCATGCTTTCTAGGGCCTTTGAGTGTCCTCTGTCATTGTCTCTCTGCACATGCAAGGAGTACATGGGCCCATTGGGACAGGCCTCTAGGCAACCCAGCCGCATCCATGTTCCCAGTTCATGTGATGCCATAATTCACAGTCCAAAGAGTTGGATCCCATTTCCAGGGCTTGCACAGGACTCTTCTCTTTGACAGTCCTCTCATCAGAACACTCCTAGAATTGCAGCCTAAGACGTGGTTATCAAGGGGAAGATGGAGACCAAAATTAATTACGTGGGCTGAGACATCCACAAATTTGTACATGAGAACCCCTTGTTGAAGAGGTGTTGAAGTTGAAGGAAGGAACAGAACAGAGTGGGCATTTGGCCAGGGCCCAGCTATTCTGTGCTATCATATTCTAGTGCAAAACTCTGAGGTGGCCCAAAATTCTAAATTCAAACGTGGTCTTACAGCTTGGTTTAAAGTTGTATTTGTCAAGGTGGAATAATATAATCTATTTAAAAATTTGTTAGTTTGATTTACCACTTAAAAAATTTAGACATATGGCATATGGGCTTTCATTTGTACTTTCGACCTGGTATCACCTATGTTAGGAACAATCTGGACCTGTCCTTTCCATCCCTACTCTACTCAGATGCTCAGATGTAGCTCACCTGGTGCCCTTCCCTCACAGATGATCCTGGTAACTGTGGCAGTTCCCAGGGTTCTATGATTAAAGATAACCAAATATATCTACATTTACCAGATTACAGTTACTGAAGGAAATAAAGGAAATAAAGACAGACTCTCTCTAGTGAAAGAATACATAATTTTATATGACATTAGCTACTAGAAGTCAGTGTGCTCTATAGTTTTTGAAATAACCCATAAAAATATGCTGCACTCAGATCCTAGGAAAGGTCATGGTTGGCAGAATAAGTCAATACTGCTCTTTTGGTCAGCTATCACTACGAAAACAAACTACCTCAAAACTTAGTGGTTTAAAGAAATGACCATCTATTTGCTCATGAGTCTGTGATCTGACCTCATTTGGGAAGGCTTATCTACTTTATGTGGTATTAGCTGGGCTCACTCATGATTTGGGACCTCAACTAGGAATTCTGGCCAGGAGCTCTCTAATCTATGAGATGAGCCAAATATGCTTCATATAGTACATGAAAAGTACTAGCTGCAAAAGAAAGCCCTAATATATAAATGGTTATCATATATCTGCTACTTTCACATTCCTTAGTAAACCACTGGCCAAAGCAAGTCACATGGCCAAGACCAGGGTCAACAAGGAAGGGGAGACTACAAAAAATATGTGTACAGGCAGACGTGATCCACTTGAGCTTTACTGAAACAATCCACCGTGTCTTAAGTGCAAAGAAAGACACATGTATAAAACTAGTAAGGTGAGAGTTAAAAATCCCATTTTCAAGTTTTAGCTCCCTTTCCTATATTGTGTGACCTTGGGCAAACAATTTAAAAAGTCTTTTTTTTTAGCATATAAATTCTTAATCTGGTTAAATTAAGGAGTAAGATTTAATCAGTGGCTTTTAAACATCTTATTTTTTGGCTTGGGGGGGTACTGTGTCTGAAAAATACCTAAGACAGAATCTCAATATACAAATATAAAGCCAAGTAACCTAGAGTTGATCTGGTTGAAGTAAGATGAGAAGCTAGAAGCTTCCATTCATTTCCACAGCCCCCCTATAGACAAACAAAAGCACTTTAAAGGAATGTCAAGGCTCTATAGAATATAATTTGATTAACTCACCTCTACTAGGTTTCTTTCTGCCTTAATATTTCATGATTAGATGAAAGTACATCAGAAATTTGGAAGAGACTGAGTAATACAGTAAAATGGTTATTAACTTCTATAGTTATTTAGGTATATTATTAGCAAGCATATC